TTTACTGATGCGTTGACAATGTTGGCGTATTCCACAATTGCTTTGAAACACATGACACACCATCAAAGTGGTGTGCAAGTGTACTCATAACTTGTTGACTTTGCGTCAATTTCTAAAACGCGACACATTTAGTGGTCACGCGGTTGCATAAGTCGAGCCCCCGATTTGCGAAGCCCACGCCGTGTCTTCGCACCTATCCAGTTTCTTGTGATAGTCAAGGCAAGGCTTCTTGCCTTCAAGTTCAGACAACCTACAAGTGAGGAGTCCATAATGGAGGCGGCAGTGGTTGCGGGTTGGCACTGCGGCGGCGGCGGCGCTGGTGGATGGGCTTGACTTTCATCATGATGATGACGTTGATGATGACCAACAGTCGTCGACGAGGCGGGAAGAACAGGGGGTGAGCAAAGCGACACCGGAACTGTTCTGCTGGCTAGTGATGCCACCACAGGCGGCGAAGTGGACACCATCGGCGACTGGACCGAGGTACTGCAGCGAGAGGCAGAAAGCATGCCAAAACATGACTCGAAGGAAGGCAAACTGCGTGCGGAGCTGCTGGTGTAAGAGGACGACACAGAATGCTGCTGCGGAGAGCCTGAGATCCAGGCACTACCACCACCATCACCACCGACGCCGCCGCCACTGCGGCTTGAAGAGCCTGATAGGAAGATCGGCGCAGCAGAGGGCTGCGAGGCACGCGTTGACTGTCGCTGATGCGAGTAAGGTAAAGGCGTTAATGGCGAATATGATGGCGGAGGCTGAGGTTGCTGCTGCTGCTGTTGCTGCTGCTGGAGCATTTGCTGCATTGATACCTGCAAATAAATCAGACTCAAAGCTGATCATATCCAAACGCAAATCTGGATTACAACCTAAACCGATGCAATAGAAGCGAGTGAGATGCAATTCGTCGAGCGTAATCAAACGAAACAACTTTTAGAATGATAGTCTTCAGCAAGAACTAGACCACAGCACAGCTCATCACTAGTGAGGAGACGTTAGCGTAGGGTTTCGTACATTTTGCTGTGGTTGTGCAGCGTGCGGTGAGGTTTGTTGAGGGAGTGGCGGCAACGAGTGTTGCTGATACGAGGTAGTTGGGGGTGTACCGGACACGGACTGCTGCTGCAGCTGCTGCCGGTGCTGTTGTGCTGCAGCAGCTATCTTCTTTTGGTTCATCCTCTTGGCGAGAATTTCTCGAAGCTTCTGACGTTCTACGTCGCCAGTGGAAGCACCCACTGTGTGTGGGGGCAGTGGGGATGCCGGTGGCTGCTGCAGCACAAGAGACGCTCGATAGGGACAAGCCGTGAACTCCTCCACCTAGTCCCACGTTGTAGTGCTGTGGCATTGGTGTTGGGGGCTAAAAAACAACATCTCCAACAATTAGATGCGTTTAAAGTAGCACAACGGCGACAATACGTCGATGGAGCAACGACCGTGACAATAGAACGACCAAATGACGCGCTTAAATGCGTCCACCTAATGGCAAGTGCAATCGAGTGTTTAAGCTAATTGCGAGTTTGGAAGTAAAGGATCACTCGGAAAGTCATGAAGGTTTTATTTAAGGTTTACCGGGACACACCAATGCAAGGCCTCAAGCGCAAATTTCTAGACCCATGTTTAGCTACTCATCGACCTCCACCACACTGGCGATAGAATATAGCCTGGATGAGTCAGCGCCTCAGTGAAAGGCCTCGTACGTCTTCAGACACAGCCTTGAACGCATTTCAGTGTAAAGTACACTCGAAGGCAAATGGCCGTGATTGGCGTGTTTCAATTAACTTATACTCTATTATTGCAACATGACTATTACCTGTTGCATCATCTGGCCAGGCTCATACGACGACGTGGGCCGCGAGGATGTTGTGAGCTGCTGTTGGTTCTGTTGCTGCATCATGTCTTGCTGTTGTCTCTGCTGATAGAAGAGCTGCTGCTGGTGGTGTTGATGAGATGGCGCGGGAGATGCAGACGAGGGATGCCCACCAGCCGACCACCACGGATGCTGGTGCGAGGGCGTCAGGGACGAGTTAATCCCTACGAAGCCCAAGGGTGGCCAAGTTGAGGCTGGTGGTGGGGGAGGTGGTAGGTAGGAACGCGGTTGCTGCTGCGCCCGGGTCGACTGTGGTTGTAGCTGATAACGATGAAAAAGCAAGCAAGAACAAAAATGGTGGTAGGTCAGTGGGCTTCAATAGCACGTCTTACAGAAAGTTGTTGGGAACTGACAAATATAAGAATTATAAAACAGCTAGTGATGAATCCAGCTCAAATTAATGGCAACAATGCAGTGATTGCACGAAATACGGTTTCCCCAGAACTAGATATTAGAACATGACTTCAATTTACTTGCTGCAATCACACCGGAAGGATCTTGAGCCAGAAGTAGACAAAGGAGAAACAAGAATCACTAAAAACAGTGACAGTGGAAATACAAGATGTTTATAGAATGAAAACATTGAATTATCGATTATGTTGAGCCAAATTACAATACCTCGCGAGAATGCATAGACAGACACCAGTTTATGAACAGTCAAGTTCTGATTTCATAAACACCAATGCAACTTAGCGGTGTACAGAAATAGAGGGAAGGATAAACTGTGGTAGAACCAGTGAGCATGCAATATATGGTAAATAAATGCTGACGAACCGGTTTTTTGAGATCGGGTGCCTCCTCAGGCCGATATTGATCTGCAGAGGCATCTGATATCGTGCGGTTACTTGCAGTCACAGGAGTGGTCGAAGAGAGCCTTCGACGTTTTCGCTTGCCGCTCATGCCTCCCAACCCGTCGGCAGAACTCGTATCGCTAGTTCCTGCCGAGAGCAAGCTGTCACCGTAGAATGCCTGCATCAGGTAATCGGGGTAGATTTCCTCCAAATCTGACTTCTTCTTGTTTGGACGTCGCTTCTTGCCGAAGATGGGGACTGCGGCGTCGAGAGGCAGTCTGGAACCAGCGGCAACTGCTGCTGCCGCTGCTGCTGCTGTCGGCAATTGTGAGTTCTTTGTCTGGGAATTGACTATGGAATGAGAAGTATGAGTCCTCATCCCAAGAAATCAACAGAGCGTTTCGGACGGCAGTGTGTTACGAGCACCCAACCGACGCACAGATCGACAACCAAATAATGAAATGTCAATTCTCAAAACTCTCAACTACCAACCTGCGAAATCCAAGCAATTATCGATTTAGCGCCAATAACGTCTAATCCAGGTGTTATAAGCCTCGCCTCAGGCCGAGTTGTGATGTCGACTCATATCGGGGCCTCCGAAACTGGCTATCTCGACGTGCCACAGTGAAACAACAGTAAAAAAATACGCGCAGCAAGTAATACGAGTTTAAACTGGCCAGAATATACACCAATTAACTCGCCATTGTCTCAACGCGATTCAGTGGGCAGTGAGTGAACCCTAAAGATATTGCACTGTTATCATTGTTATTAAAATTGCATTCTTATAGGTTAGTCCACTTTTTTCAATTCGAAGCCATTATTTCTCGGATTCGCAGTATTATGATAAATTTGGCAAATGTCGCACTCTCACTTACGCCATGCATGAGGTAGTTTACTATACTAGCATTTCAGCCCATTACCTCGTGTTTTTAAGTTTACCGCGAGCGGCAAAATATTAGGTTGCATGCTTATCTGAAAACACGGAACTACCGAATAGTGAAATCAAAGCATTTGTCAATTCAGCGCCATTAACACCTAATTGAGGTGCTAGATGTCTCGACTCACGTTGCGGTGTGATCTAGACCCATATCGGGGCCTCCGAAATTGGCTATCTTGAGATCGCGCAGCTCAGAACACTGAAACAACAGTGAAACAGTACATGCATCAAATAATACGACGTTAAACTGGCCAGAAAATGCACAAATACTAGAGCATACCTGGTACACGCGAGTAGGCCTGGCCCGGAAGCCCACAACGCCGAAGTTAAGATGACGACGGGTCACCGCGTCTGATCTCACCTAAGCGACTGACCAAGCGGTCTGCGCTTTGCAACTCCGAAAACAAAAG